ACTTTCCTAATTTTACCTTTTAGGATTTTAGGCTTTAGATTGGTTTGGGTCTGGATTTGTCTGGGGAAATCTCATGTCTAATTTAAGATAGATTATGTGCTATCTGATGAGAAAGGTGATTCTGAACCCTGGCTTCTCTCTCTGAGTACCATTTCTTCTCTTTGCATCTTTTGGGATTTCATTGTCGAACCATCCACTTGGTTCTGAATCTTTCTAGCTTGGTTTCTTTTCTGTCATGTTTCTTTCTGTAAGTGCCTTTATTGCTTTTCTGCTCATCAAATCTGCTGGGACTTTTCATTGTTGTTAGATTTCAGCCTAACATGTTGGCATTTCTGCTACTGGTAGTGACTCATTTCATCAAGCAGTTGAGGCTAACTTATGCTGTGGTCAAAACATCTCAGTGGCTTTCCTCGTAGGTGCTTATTCTCACATATGAAAATGTGAACAGCAGCTGTGCTGCACCAAATCCCTTTCTTGGGAATTCAGGTCAGAGAAGCAGTCCCTGTCTGAATCAATTCAGGATTCATGGTAGAGGGAAAAGAAATGGCAAGACCGTGTGATGAATCTTATGGCTTCAGCTTGGAAATAGAACATGTCATTTTTACCCTTATGTCTTGGGTCGGGAATCCCTACAACCTAGTCTGATGTTGCTGAGATAGGAAGTATAATCTTATTCCCAAAACAGATCTGGTAGGGAGACGCAGTATAGATTGACAATAGTAAAATCTTCCAAATCTGATTTGCTTTCAGTATTTCACTTACAGTAATCTGGGATGCATTTCAAAACCCCCAATGGATGCCTGAAACCACAGATAGTACTGAACCCAATGAGTTCTGTTTTTTCTTAAATATATACACACTTAGGATAAGTTTAATTTTATAAATTAGGTACAGCAGGAAATTGACAACAATAGCTTAAAACCTCAGCATATGATTTTCCTCTTAAGAAGATAACTTTTACTTTCCTCTTGAAGCATTTTTTTTGGTTTCTCTTTGGCATATCCCAGTTGCATTACTTTGCTTGTGCTTTGAGGCCATTTATAAACAAAATAGGGGTTACTTGAACAAAAGGACTGCAAAACAGTGACAATTGATACAATATATGAGATACTTACTAAGTGACGAATGGGTGGGTAGTATGTACAGAGCAGATACACTGGACAATGGGATGATTTGTGTGCCTGGGCAAGATAGACAGGACAGCATGAGATTTTATCATGCTACTGAGAAAGGCACATAATTTAAAATTTGTGAATTTTTTTTGGAATTTCTAATTATGGGACCATGGTACTACTGGCAATTGAACCTGGAAAAAGTAAAACTTCTGATAAGTGGGGAGGGGGTGTAATCAGAACCTGACACCATACCTGCATATCTTGGATACTCAGTAGGGGAAAGACACCTCTTTCTTTCTAAATTTTTTTTCTTGGTTGTACTGAGGATTCCAAGTGTTCGTTCTCTGTATCCTTTTCATCTTTTTCATTTTATCAATGGCTTTCAATAAGAGTTTCTCTTTATTTATCTTCATCCATCTTTTATGTTTTATCTGTGTTTATCAGCAGTGTGTTCTCATCCTAGACTAGTAAGTTTTACACCATACTTTGCTGTCTTAGAAATCCACCATGATTTGTTTTTTGTTCCTCTAAATTATGGCAGTTTGCTTTCACAGTAGATTTCTGAATGCTCAGCAAGTTGAGGGACACTTAGAGTTTTGATATTAAACCACATTGGTCTACTAGAAAGTGAGTTTGTTGTGTAGAAATTTGGTGATTTCTGATTTTATATTTTAAATAGAACTATTTTGGTTGAAATTCATGTGTGCCACCACATGAACTAACCCTAAGCTTTTCTCTGCTATACTGAGTTTACAGATCTGCAAAAATAGCAGGAGCTTTACTCAAATACAGACAACCTTACCTGAACTTTACACAGATTTCATAAAAATAATGTCACTATGCTTGAACTCTGCAAGTGCTCTATTGAATGTGCTTGGAGTCAAGCATAGTCTTAAGGCAAACACTTCCCTTCAGTTTCTTTGTATTAGTCAACATCTATTGTTAAGCATGAAGGACATTTTGCCATTGCTTTGTACCCCAAAACACTTTGGCTGTCCCAGAACTAAATGTCATCTGTATTCCAATGCTTTTTTAAAAATATTTTTTTATTCTAAGCTATTTTAGTTCTCCTACTAGATTATAATTTATTGGGGAAGCAGGATAATACCACAACACACATTTTGTGAAAATATTAATAATTATGTGTTAAATTGAATATAATTATTTTAGTTCATCTTATTATTGAACTCAGGATGGAGTCATTCTCTGTAATTTTGTTAAATGATTATGCAGTTCAGATGTATGTAGTTTTTCTACACTGAAATTGCATTTTACTCAAGTTAGAATGGCAGTCATCAACAACAAATAATTAATGCTGGTGAGGATACAGGGGGAAAGGAACACTTTTACCTTGTTGGTGGAGCTGCAAATTAGTAAAACCAGTATGGAAATAATTATGGGAGTTCCTCAAAAACCTAGGAATGGAACACCATATGACTCAGCTATCTCACATCCTGATATTTAACAAAATGTACTAAAATCAACATACTATAGCAATGCAAGCATACCCATGTTTATAGCAGCACGATTTAAAGTAGCCAAACTATGGAAGCAACCTAGGTATCCATCAAAAGATGAATGGATTTAAACATTCCTATGTACATGTGTGAATATACCACAGTGAATCTCAGCATCCTGTATATCCACAAGACTGGGATCCTAGGATATATTCTATGCTTGTATAAACATATCAAAATAGATTCTACTGTCACATATAACCAAAAATAACAAATAAAAAGAAAAAAAGAGAAAACATTAGGCATTTTTTGGGGGGGCAGATTTGCTAACTTCACTTAGCATTATCGTCTCCAACGCTATCCATTTACCTGTAAATGCCATGATTTTATTCTCTTTTATTTCTGAGTAAAATTCCATTGTGTGTATATGCCACATTTTTTTTATCCCACTGAAGGGCATCTAGGTTGGCTCCACAGTTTAGCTGTTGTGAATTGTGCTGCTATAAACATTGATGTGACTGTGTCCCTGTAATATGCTATTTTTTAAGTCTTTTGGGTATAAACCTAGGAGAGGGATAGCTGGGTCAAATGGTTGTTCCATTCTCAGATTTCCAAGGAACCCAAAGGGAGGGGGCAGAGGATTAGCAAGGATGGTGCGGTGTAATAGATATCATCATCAAAGTACATGTATGAAGACACGAATTGGTGTCAACATACTTTATATACAACCAGAGATATGAAAAATTGTGCTGTATACGTGTAATAGGAATTATAATGCATTCTGCTGTCACTTATTTTTTTAAAAAATCAATTTATAAAAACAAAAAAATAGATGAATAGATTAAGGAAATGTGGTATATATACACAATGAAGCTTTACTCAGCCATAAAGGAAAAATGAAATTATGTCATTTGCTTGTAAATGGATGGAACCAGAGAAAATCACACTAAGCAAAATAAGCCAGATTCAGTAAGTCAAGGGCAACATGTTTTCTTTCATATTCAGAACCTAGAGAGAAAAAAAAAATTAAAAGGAATCTCAGGAGAATAGAAGGGAGACCAGTAAAATAGAGGAAGGGGAGCAAATGAGAGGGAGGAGAGAAGGGAAAGGGAAGTTACTGGGGAGTGAATGGACATAATTATGCTATGTGCACGTGAGAATACATCACAATGAATCTTACCATTATGTATAATTGTAATACATCAATTAAAAAAAGTAGAAGGGGGTCCAGTAGAGTACAGGAAAGGAAGAGAGGGAAAGGAGAGATATTGGAAAATTAAATTGCATGTAGATTTTATATTTTCAGTAGCAGTGTCTAAGTGGACACTATGGTGCCCATCCATTTGCTCTTAGCACCCACTTTTCAAGGCCAGCAGACTGACCTGTAACTTCCAGTATTGAAGGCTCTTTGTCTGAGAGCTTTCCCTGGCTACTGGAGAACTCTCTTATCCTGACTGGACATACTGGGGATTAATGTCCCCCAGGGGCAATGAATGACAAAAGTTGATGGATAAATGCCTCTGTTCCCTTGATCTTTGTTTAGAGTATCTATAAGATGTTTGTTTGGTTTGCCTGAGTTCCCCAGTGGGAATGGGATCCAATGCCTCACAGTCATGCACCCACATTGGTTCCATTCTTTGCCTCGCCTCACTCTTCTTCTCTGCTATCATAATTTCCTGGATTATTAAGAAATTAAATGTCTTTTAGTTTAGTCTATGTCTTAGAGTCCTGTACTTTCTAAGGGGAATCTAAACCAAAACAAGCATTCTTATGTCAAAATTTATGATTTATTGATTTGTCAATTTTGATGCAGTCCAATAGAAATACAATGCAAATCATACATATAATTTCAAGGGTCCTAGGGGCCACATGAAAAAAGTATAAAGAAATAAGTGAAATTGATTCAATAATAACAGTTTATTCAACTCATATTAAATATTGTCATTTTAATATATATAGCATATATTAATGAAATATTTTTTTTACTCAGCCTCTGAACTCCATTGTATACAATACCCTCACAGGGTAATACACTTATAGAACAAATCAGCTTGGACTCGTCACATTGTAGTGCTCATGTCACTAGTGGCTACTGTGTTGGAAACAGGTGATCAGTTGTGCACCATTATTCTCCATATGTCAAAATGAAGCCATAGCTCTTGAATATATAGGAGGCTATATGGTGAGTCATATATTCTACTGTTAAAAAAATCTCCTTTGACTTCTTTTCTTCTTTCAAACTGAATACAATCTCTATAAATATCTAGAATGATGGGCATTATTACCTTGTTTAGTCTGTGTCCACATATTTATGTTGTTTTAAGAATGAGCTCTGGCGATAGTCACTTTGAGTCTTACTGCTTCTTACATGTTTGCATGCAAAATATAGCCAAAATGTTTAGCATCTCTGTGCTTGTGTGCTTTTCAGGCAGAGGGTACCAGACTTCAGCGAGAACTCCGAGGATATTTAGCAGCAATCAAAGGTAATATGTATGTGTTGTTTACGGCATGTTACCAAGCACAGGTTGTTCTTGGAATGTGTAAGAGACCGGATGGAGTGTTAATTACAAGACCATTTGGCTTTCTGGCAAGTACAGTACTTGAGCACAGGTGTTTCATTCCACCTACTTCCAAATTCCCATTGAAACAATAATCAGAATATACAAGGACAAAACATATCTGCCCTTATGCTGAAAACTAAGAATAAATGCCACCCACATGCCACAGATTTCTAGGAAGATTTGTTAGACAGTGAGCTTGAGCCCTTATATAAGAATGACTGCAGCTGGCTTACATTCTAAGGGAGGGCAGGTTGCAAGAATGCACACTCACAGACTCACTCCCAAGCCCTCTTGATGGAAAGTACACAGAATGGTAATAGAGGTCGGGGAAGGTTATCAGGAAACATGGCCCTCGTGTGTCTGTGGCTTGCACAAAGCAGATGCAGGTGCAGCCCTGCCAGTGTACAACATGGGAAACAGAGAGGGCCTGGCATTGGTTTCTAGCCTTTTCCAAGCAAGGCAAAGAAATGAAACCAGTGGAGGAGGAAGAAGAGAGCTCTGGGGAGATATATTTAACCTGTGCCTTGGGTTCCTCATTCATGTAGTACTCCATTTCTCTTCTCAGTCCTCCAAAGCTCTAAAACTGGAATTCTGTGGAACTGAGTTAAATGGCTTCTACTCTTTCTTTTATTATTATTGGTCTCTGGGTAACATTCACCTCTGATTTAGTACAATTGTTTAGCTGGAGTTATTAGTTAGCTAATATTATTTTTTACTATCTGAAGAGCAGGAGACAGGGTCAGGAATGGCCCTGCCAAGGAACTTATTCTTCAGTGGACTCAGGAATAGGCAAGAGGTGATCATCAAGTGATGAAATATGCTAGACAAAGAGGTGGATGTTGGCGGAACATTCCAAGTAGTAGAAGCAGCCAAAGGACCAGAAGGCAAAAGAAAGCATGGACTCTCTGAGAACCAATAGATTAGTGGTGAAGGCAGAAGACTGAGCTGGTTGAGATGTGTAAAGGTGGCAGTATTTATGTAAAGAAGTGCTTTATGTATCATATCATCTTGGGATTTTATTCTGTCAGTGTGGAGGGAATCATTAATAATTGTAGGCAAGGGAATAAGTCACATGATCAAATTAGAACTTCAGAAATATAGTTCTTGAGATTGTACGGAATTCAGTTTAGAGGGAGTGAAACTGAAAAGAGATGTATTAGAGGTCCAATAGTTTAATCAACATAATAATAGCTAACATTTCCTTAATACTCATGTGCCAGATACCAAGATGTACTTTTTAAAATGCCTCATTTCATATAATTCTTACCATAACATTATGGAAGGTACTATTATTTATTGGCATTTTTATACTTTGGAAAACTGAGATTCAGGATGATTAATAGTTTGCTCAAAATCACACAGATGGCATGTGGTAGAACCAAGATTTTAACAAAGGCTGCTTGATTGCAAATAATAGTCTTGATTCTTATGCCATATTGGCTCCAAAAATATTTTTTATAATGATGACTGACATTTGAATATTTATTGTGTGCCAAATACTTTGCTAAACCCTTTTCATGGGTTAGATTTCATCTAATATAAATAATAGACAATGAGTACATAATACAGGGCAGATACAGTGAGCAGGGAAGGAAGGGGGTGGATTTTAGCCACAGACACGATTGGATTGGTAGGTCTTGGTGACACATTCATTTTGTGAGGATGACCTAGGATGACTTCTAGTACTCTAACTGGGAAAACTGGATGCCATTCATGAAGATGGGAAAAGGAAGAGGAACAGATGTAGATAGGAAAGTTAGGAGTGTGTTTTTGACTAGTGAGATTTGGGATGCTGGTGAGACATTCATGTAGTGATGTCCACTAGGGATTTCGAATTAGCATATGTGGCAGCATTGGAGGCCAAATACATGGAAAAGAACACAGAAAACCTTTCTCTAAGTGGAACCTGGCCCAGATGTCATAATTAATATGTATTGGTTCCATGTGACTTTGCAGGCATGACGGCAGGGGCTAGGGTTGACTGTTCTTGAGCTACCCCACCATCTGCTTATTTTTTTTTCTTCTTTTGCTCCTATACTTGCTTTTCTCTTTGCAGTTTTAAGAGAAAGACTTCCCTTCCTGCTTTCCTCTGAGGCAGCTGCTATCTTCTTAAATAGCTATCTTCTAAACAAGGGGAAAAGCTGCTAGATATTTGCCATCTTTCAGACATTCTTTTAATGGTTCATCATTGCTTGTGGTTAATGTCATAATATATTTAAACTGAGTTATTTTTAACTAGAACATATACCCTCAGGCTGTGCAAGCAAAGAATACTCATGTAGCACTGCAATATATGCAACCAATCAGAGAGGATGAAAATAGAAACTCACAAATTTGGCTGCAAATAAAAATAGAAGATGTTACATTAGATGCCTTTGGACAAGATCCAAATGTTTGAATAGAGGGAAAAGTTCCATCCAATAGTAAAATATTAATTCTTCTACTTAGGATGTTGGGCAAGGGTTTGCAAGATATCACTGATCTTTTAAGAAAATATTTGGTATTAGTATTTAGCATATATTCTGTTTTAAGTTATTGAGTTGCTTTGAAGGAACTTGACTTTTAGTTTTTAGATATTTATTTCTCTATTATTTTGCATCAGCAGAGTAAGTTCTTGTCTTAATCTGTCTTGTGCTTCTGGGTAATGTACAAAGGATAGAAATGTATTTGGCTCATTGGAGACTGGGAGGTCCAGATCAATGGGAACCATCTGGTGAGGGCCTTCTTGCTGTATCACAGCATGGTGGAAGGGATCCCATGGGCAAAAGAGAATAAGATAGGGGGACAAATTCATTCTTTATAAGGATCCCACTTTCACAATAACAAACCCATTTCTTTGATAACAGTAGTAATCTATTCATGAGGGCAAAGCTTCCACATCCCATTCAATTCTTTAATGTGCCACCTCTCAACACTGTTGCATTGGGCACCAACTTCCCAGAATATGAGCTTTGGAAGACACATTAATACCATAGCATTTCTCAGTTGCTGAAATATCAGCTGTCTGCGTCCTCTTGGAAGTGAGGCTTGAGCTTGCTCCCTTGTGTGTCCATCAGAGTACTTTCTATGGAGTAGATATCTCAGAAACCATTTTCTAAGTTACAATGACTTCTATCCAAATTACCCATCACTACTTATTTACACAGTGATGAGTAGTTATTTTTGACTTCTAACAGACCTATTTACTGCAACATTGTACTTACTTTCAGTCTTTATGATTCAAATCTTGGATAATTTTATTTTGAGCTTACATTAGTTTCATTTTTCACTACAAAGGTCATTTGTCCTCCAATGTTATCATTTTTATTTTTCCCCTTAAGACATTGTTAAGAATCTGTCTATATAGCTATTTATAATTTCCATCAGACTTAAGACAAAGAGTTGAAGGAAATTGCATAAGCTGTTTGGCATCTGCATTGTAGAAAGGGAACAATTAGTGATTAGCTTTTCGCATAAATTCAAGGGATACATTTCTTGATATAGATTTACCTCGGTGGGGGTGATTGTGGTACTTGGGATAATGTAGCTATCATGTCAATGGTAACCCAGTCATGAGGGAAACTATTCTCACTTATTCACATTCACAGTGTGAAGGGATGGATGCAGGGTTTTGCATCATTGTTGGCTGTCTCTACACCTACATGAGTTTCATCAGAGTCCCCAAAGACTTCAGTCATCACTGGTTTTCCCTGCCTTCACTCTGGAAGGGGTGGCCACCTCACTTTAACTGTGTGGGCTGTACACTGCATTTTCAAGGGCATCCTTGATGATGCTTAATGATTTATATTCTTCATGGAGAGGAAAATGCAAGCAGTTGTACCTCATGTGACTCTGAAACACATTCAAACCTCTGGGGTTTAAAGACCAAACATTTATCTATGGTTATCAGGGGAAGCCAAGGGGGGGTCATTCTCTGTCTAGAGAATGAAATAGTATGATAAAGTACCAAACTGCATAGCAACTTTATCCATGTTCTTCAAGGATATACTACCATCATTTCAGACATCTTTTATTATGTCTTTTTATCTTAGAACTGAGCCCCAAATTTAGTACTGTCCAACAGCCATGTAGTTCGGTTTTTAGTTTAATCAGTGGTTTCCATCTTTAATTCCCTGAGGTTTGGTTTTCTTTCTTCTCCTTTTATCCAGCCCCTTTTCATACCCATGAGAGACAAAGGCCAAGACACCCACCTGGGCAGTTTCCATCTTTTAGCTACTAGATAGATTCTGAGCGGCTACAAGCTCTGGCCATTCTTGGTACCTTGTTCTGGTCTCTGCCATGAGTCATCTCCTTGGTGACCCAGCACTAACCTCTGTGTTCTGCAGTGGGAGTAAGGTTACTGGAAAAAACTTGATGATGCTTTGTATCATCATGTTACCATCAAATTTTATATCTTTACTATTATTAATAGCCATGATTTTGCAACATACCAGATTTGCCTTGAAGGAAAATTTAGACCTATAGGCTTAAGAACACTAAGCTTTCTGAGAGTTTTGATTTAAAATGGTATTCAGTGCAGTGGCATATTCTTGCAATTCCAGGTATTCAGGAGTTTGGGACAGGAGGATTGCAAATTTAAGGCTAGCTCCAGCAAGTTAATGAGACCCTCTCTTAAAATAAAATAAAAATGGCTGACAATGTAGCTCAGTGGTAAAGTGATTGCCTATATGCACAAGGCCAAGAGCTTGATCCCCAAGATCACAAAAAACAAATTAAACCCGTATTCATGGTTTTAATAATAGTGAAGAAATGCAATCTTTTTTCTTTGTTTTAAACTTTTAAGCTTCTTCAACTTAAATTCTGAGCCATTTTTAACCACTTCAAGAAATTTTATTATTTTAAACCACAGAATTACCTTCAGTTGTTATGTCCTAAATTAGTGTTTATTTTGTTTTTATCTGCTTCTAAACATGCTTTATTTCTCATACTTAAAGTTTTTTTTAGGATTAACTTTATTTTTAGACCTCTTCAGTTTCATAGACCAATATGATTCTCACTGATCTACATATTTGTGATTGAATGCCATTTGTTGAGTGATAATAGGACACATTATTATTTTTATTTTATTTTTCAGATTAGGGCTGGGTGTTGATTTTTTTCAAAGATACAGTACATATCATCATGTAAATAACAGACAATGTACAATGTGATATGTCTTAGAGGCCCTCAAGGAAAGATGTGACTGTGGCTGTATGTGGCAGGTTGCCTTCAAGATTTTTCCTTAAATATTTAGCAATATTTTAAGATTTTTTTTCTCACTTAGAGAGGGAGGTAGAAGAGATTTCACATCCATTTTGAAGTAACAGGAGTTGTTTTTCTCCAATCTCAGGCATGCAAGAAGCCTCCATGAAGCTCACTGAGTCACTGCATGAAGTCTATGAGCCAGATTGGTATGGGCGGGAAGATGTGAAAATGGTTGGCGAGGTAAGATCTGGGGTGGCAGTGTGCAGGAGGTGGGGTGGTGTCCACGAGATTCCCACTGAATCCTGCTCATTCCAACTGCCCCTGCCCCCTCTCCTTCCTTCATGTCCTAATCTTAAAGGGAGAACAGGTTCCCAGAAAGTGACAGGCAGTTCTGTTATCTGGTTATCCCACACTCAAATGAGAGGCAAAGATGATTATAAAAACCATTTGAGTAGAGAGCTGTAAAGATTATTTTTCTTCAAAATAACAGTAGCCTTTTTTAGTCTTATACTACAGGTATTAGCAACCCATTTCTCACAAAACTGGATTATGGGTGAGATTTTATATAGTAATGTCACCTATTAGTCCCTAAATTCCTGCTGACCAACTCTCCCTGAATTAACAGGCAACAGCTTTGAAGAGCATCCATTACATTATTAAAACTAGTTCTTTCACTAACCAGTTCTTTCTTTTACTCTCCTCATCTACAAAATGAGAACAATCATTGTACCTACTCATAACTTTGAGCCTTTGTGTTCATGTCCCCAGTTAGTGTTTAGTGCTTGTTTGGATCACTGATGTGCTAAAGCTGCCAGCCAGAGGTTCTCTAAATCCTTTGTTAAAACAAAGTCAGTCATGTCCTCCATATTGGGTGAATGACTACAGCTCCTTTAGGCACAAAAAACCTGAACCAGATGTCACAGTCAAAGCTCAGGAAAGTCTAGGCACCCTCGGAAAACATGAATCAACAGAGGAGCTCCAGGCTGATATCCCAACATGGATCTTCATAGTCTCATTGGGACTGAGATAAAAACAGAGATTTATTTATTAGAAAAGCTATCATTGGTCCTATAACATATTTCAAGACTTTCAGGATATGGATTTGGCCAAAACATTTTCCACACATCATTTTCAAATGAAGTTATTATGTTATTGTATCTTCTTACATTTTTTCCCAGTATAAAGACACTGTTTCAACACTCTGTTGCTAAATGCTTGATTCATTGTAAGTTTCTGATTAATGCTGTATTATTAAAAATTCAACACAAAAGAGAAAATTTTAAGGGAAGAACAGAAACTTGTATAAATATCTTTTCAGAACACTGTATCATTATAGTCTACATATGGCAAATGTTGGTTCCTTAAGAAAGTGGCTTCTATCTTAATCTCAGTCCTTGTGGCTGACAGTATCCTTGAATCCTTAGCTGCAGATGAAAATATGGGCTCTTTTGATGATGAAGGAACTGGGTATTTTGTATTCAGAGGATCTACTCATATGAAAATAAACCTTTTCTACAGTGGAGTTAAATTTTCTTGATTGCATAAAATTCTTGAATTGAGGATTATAACAATTAAGATTAGGGTTTGAAGTGTGAAAATGATACGAGAGCAAATTTTAAAAAGTTTTTTTTTTTTTTAACAAAATAGAAGCATCTCTCATATACAGGAATTTGGAGGTCAGATGACATAGCGGACCCAAAAGTATCAGAGGCTTCTCTTTGCTATCCTTACTTTGCTCCTTCAGGTTCAAGAGGACCCTTTGTGCAGTGGACATTATCTCTCATTTCTGCATTCTATTTAGTAAGAATGAACTCTGGAATATGGGTCTAGCCCATACCCTTCTTTTGGGGACACTTCCTTACAGTACATAATTGGCCACTTTAGCACATGGATACCCTTAGCTAAAGGAATCTGGGAATTAGAATCTTTATCCTAGGCAGGTGTGTGCACAACTGAAATTAGAGGTTCAATTATTAAGAAGATAAAAAGGATAAACTGAAGAATAAGCAGCAGACCATGTCAGGGGACCCCAAATGTAGCAGTAGAAAAAATGTGGAGATAATATTGTTGTGCACCTGCTAGGTGCCTGGGATTCTAATAAGTATTTTATTTTGCCTACTCATTTAACTGGGGAAATTGAAATTCAGGAAGGTTCAGTTTCCTGAAGTTACACAGCTGGGATATGAATCCTGCTCTGGTAAGGTAGCCTGGATTAATTGATAGTCATGAGCTTTGAATTCAAGGAGATAAAACTGGGTACACACTTAGGTCTTTCCTTTATCCACTGTATGATCTTGGCCAAGTTAGGTAGCTTCTATGGATTTCAGTATTCTCTTCTATACATTGGCAATGCCACATCTTTCCTCAGAAGACTATCATGAAAATTAAATGTGTATCCCCACATAATAATAGGGTAATCATAGCAATAGTAGTAGTAATAAAAATAATAATATTCATTGTGTGATTATCATAGTTGATACTCCATAAATGGTAAGATTCTTCCCAGTAGACTGTAAATTTTATGATAGGTCTTTGAAAGCTTCAGCAATGGTTAATTGTTTCTGTCTGGGTTGATTTTTAATTTATTGAATTCCTTCAGAGAATTTAAGCGTCTCAGTAGAATTTTTCAATCTTTTAGCTCCAAAGTCCATCTATAGGGATTTGGGAGCCCTTTGAAGATTCTATATTCTTTAGTCATTCAGAATCAGAAATGCAGTTTTTAAAAATGAGCTGAGATCTCAGCTTGTACTGTTAAATATATAATTAACAAATTGCCCTATTTTTTCATATTCTTAAGTAATCTACATTATTTTTAATATCTAATGTCTGGGAGACTATTATTTATATAATTTTACAGTTTCAAATGTTTTAGAATTTTAGTTTAGGGAAAGGCATCCAATTAAAATATTTCAGCAGGTATCTCTTTATTTTTCCTTTTCTTTTAGAAATGTGATGTGCTATGGGAAGACTTCCATCAAAAACTAGTGGATGGGTCCTTGCTGACACTGGATACCTACCTGGGCCAATTTCCTGACATAAAGGTATTTTAGTCTATTTATATAAAGGGAATAATTGAATGGTCTCATGTAGTTATTGAAAGATGGGCAAGATAAGGAGAATTAAAAGTACTCAAACTGACATCAAAGACAATTCGTAACTTTTCATTTATTTAAGCATGGGATTTTTATTCTATTCCTATGATTTTGAAATGAAATCTGGTTACAGAAATTACATTGTCTGCTTTAGTGAACTGCTTCAGCTTTTCTTTCTTTCCAGAATTCTTTTAAAGCCTGTAGATTTAAAAAATCCTAAATCAGAGGTACAAAAGTTCCAATCTTCTTTACATTCAAACTTTTTATTATGTAGCATTGGATAAGTATGTGCATTAAATGAAACAGTAATGACACAGAAGGGAGAAACTTTATTGTAACCAGATAGCAAAATCTTATCTTTCCTGTTTACTAGTTATTTTGCATGTGGCCATAGTGCAGCTGGGTAAGTTTCTTCTCCTTGAAATGTTCAGGTTCAAAGTGAAATATTAATATATAATTATTTTAAATACATTTGCATCTGGACCCCAAAATATTTTACCTAATACATCTATCTTGTTTGACACTTGTGTAAAATAAAAAAAAAATAGACAAGTGTATATTCTAGATTTAGGTAAAATAGACAAGTTTGGAACTGACACTGGAGGGGAAGATAATTTTCGAACCATTTGAGCAGCATTACATGTATCCCAGCCTCTCATTTATTTTCTGTGTTCAAGGTGAAGAGCCAGGTAAGGTAGCCATGTCCTATCTTTCTGGTAGGATGAGGAAGCCATGAATCAACATCAGTGTGTGCATCTGTAGTATTTCATTAGGAGTCTTCTGATGCTATCTGGTTACAATGGAGTTTCTACCTTCTGTGTGATTACAGTAGACATGGTCAAACACTGGGAAACTACAGAAATGTGCACCAGCCTTGGCCAAGAGACATATGGAAACTTCTTAGCAACAAAACACTCATAGTGATGACTGAAGTTTTCCTGTTCCCACACTATTCATCTAAAGGTAGTTGGCCAATATACAGAGAGCTTTTAGGATATAAGGGGCCTTGGACAATAACCTAAATGGATCAGTCTAGACACCTTTACTCTGTTGGCCAAAGGCCACAGAGACCCACATGATAGATTCTCACTGATGTTAGCATAACAGATAGAAAGTGTTAACAGTAATACAGTGAAAACTAGCCATACATACAATTTCTTATTTGAACTTTCTAAAACACTTTTGTTTTAAAAAATGCATGTTTGTGGGCTGGGGCTGTAGCTCAGTGGTGGAGCACTTGCCTAGCATGTGTGAGGCACTGGGTTCTATCCTTAGCACCACATAAAAATCAACAGATAAAATAAAGGCATTCTGTAAAAAAAAAATTGCATGTTTCTAAACCACATTTAATGTACACATTATTATAAATGACATACCTTTTAAGGAAAGAATAAAATACACCTCAGTATTAAACAAAAACAACAACAACAAAAAGAAAGTGCTTTCCTAGAATCTTCATTTTCCTTGACTCTCTGTGTTGGTGTCTGCATTAGACAAAACACAGACTGGCCTGTACAAAAGGCCCTCACCAGTGGGCTCACTCAGAGATTTTTGGAGGCCTCTTGAATTTTGTGCTAATCTAGCTCACTATTTCTGTTCTTAGCAACATCTGGGCATCTAGAGAATGCTGGGCCCCATTAATATTCTGACACAAATGGGACTGAAGCCAGTTCCACAAGAGTCCCCTGAAATTTGGATCATTGGATGCTGTTGTTTTCTTTCTCCAGGTAGAAAATGGGATCTTGCATTGAGCTTGAAGAATGAGTTGCAGTGACTAATTGTGTAGTAGATCAAACTGCCATCTTAGTACTCTCTGGTGCCCAGGTGGCTAGAGTATAGTTATTATTCCAAGACAGAAGCCGGTCCTTTAAGAAGCTCCTGGAAAAATTGGTATTTGAGAAGTTAACTCTTTCCTTCCCCAGGTAAAAGCTTGGAGTTGAGGTTTATTGCCCACTTACTCTGGGCTGAGCTAGAGGAAGCAACTAGTGCAAATGGCTGCATGCTAGTTGAAACCATTCTAACCACTGCTTTGATTTGCACTATCTTAGAATGCAGGACCTTTTCAACTATTTTCTGGGTTTCACAGCAGGATTGATTCATGTGATGCTGCTAAATTGGTGTATCCATGAGGGAAGAGAAGCCAGGTTATATCCTTCATCTTCTAGTAGCAATTGTATTAAATAACAATCTATATCTTCAAAAATCAATACCCAATAAATCAGAAAAAGATAAGGAATACTGTATCCTCCTACCAGAAAACTCCAAAGCAGCTTGCTATTATTTAATAGATTTTATACATTCATAGCATGACCTAGATTAGCAAAGGAACGTGTAATTGACTGGAGAAGATTACATTTGAAAGATTTTTGAGTTTCAGGAACAAAAACTTGGTATCATCAACAAATTGTAAAGATCTTAGTTGTTACAATGCTACCCAGAGATAGTTATTTAAAAATTGGACCTACTCTGTAGGAGCTTATAATTTCAGAAGACAAATACACATAGAAGTATCTGTGGTGAAACATAGATTTTTAAAAAGCCATAATAGATTATATCAATTCAATCTTTCAGTTCACTCCATGTCAAAAGAGATAAAGAACTCAGAAGAACTTTTACTTTAAGCAATTCTTTTCTTATAATCCGTGGTTGAATTCATAGAAAGATGACCCTCCAGTTGCTGAATCATCTAGAGAATCAGAAATAATATCATCTAGGTCTTTTGCCAGATACTCTGAAGGTAAATATACATCATGGTTTTACATGCATCATGGAAAGAGATGGAGTCAATTTCCCTCTAATCTCTCCCTGTCTCTTAAGCTACATTGAGAAGAGTAAAATTTACACAGTGGCTATTAACAAGATAGATATTTGGGAAACCATGTAACCCAACAAACAATCTAAGACATTGCAATGTATATCTAAGAAGAGATAATATGAAACTGGAGAGAGGACAGATAGCTGTATTTAATATTTGGAAGATTTTTCTTGTGTGAGAATAGACAAATTATTCTGCACACCATTAGTTGGTGAATAGAAGTAAGAAGTAGGTATAGACTGCATCATTTTATAAAATGAGCCCCGAGTGATTATGTAATGAATGACTTATTAATGAACAGGAACATAACAGTTAAAAATACTGAGTGGAGAATTTTCAAAGCATGGAACTTAATTGACTTCCTCTATCTCATTAAAATCAACAGTCCATGTGCAGTTAAAACCTCAGGCAAATTTCCAAATATTTACTGCAACCTATCAGTGAGTGTTATGAAGTACCCATTCATGAGGGGATGATGTTTGATTTTTCCAGCTGTGATTGGCAGGGCACCCTGTGTTATGCTTCCCATTATGCAGCATTGACATCTAAAGTCAATGTTATAAAAAGACCCTGCTTTTCACCAACCCAGGCAGGCTTACAGCTGTGAGCAGTTATTGTAAAATGTAGTTTAGATTCCATCTTGGCAGTTGTGCACGAGCAGCTAAGCAGATTTTTAATGCAGGATGCCAAATGATTTTCAAATTGGGATTATTATTGAATCTTAAAAAAAAAGTATAATAAGTTGTTTTCTTCACTGCCGAAATTCAGTGCACAATGGGAAATATCAAGAACTTTTATTTTAATTTATTATTTAAAGTAAGTTTAATATTAATTAAATTTACTTATTATTTAATTAAATTTATTACTGGATGGTTACATAAGAATTGTATCATGTTTCAAAGCTAATGTGTACGAATTCTACCCTCGCGAGATTTGTATTTTTCCCCCAAGTTTCCCAAATATCATATAGGAAAACAAATAGGATTGATCTATTTTTCTACCATGAAAACATTATGTGTCACAATGAGTGATGGCCTTTAAAATAGTCACTTCTACCCTGCTAAGTTATCCTCTGTAATTGACTTGTCAGTTACAAGAGAAAATGAGTCACATTATTTACTTCATTTCTTGTTCTGGAACAAAAATAAAATTACTCTTCCTCCTGATTCCCAGACTTTGAAGTAATTGAATTCCATCCCTTTCAAAATTTAGATTCATCTTCCAAAAGTCAAGATTTGCTACTTGGAAGACATTAAAGGTGTTCCCATGCCAGAAGGCAGGTTCCATAAAGCAGGGCTTTGTAGGAATTGCTTATAGTCGCATGGGCCATTGCCTCTAGGGTCGTGCCACCTGTGAAGGTGACCATTAGATGTTTGTTCAAAATAATGATTTTTATCACCTTAACAGCACTCAGTGCCTTCTGTACCTTAATGAAGGACTTCACTGTGCCCTGCCTGGGCTATATCATGCATCTTTAAGCAACTCTGGCTATGCCACAAAGCTTTTCACTGTCAACACCAGTTGGAAGTGGTAGGTGTGGGTAAAATAAAAGTGATTGAAAGTGGCTCAACAAGATTAAATGTCCCAACCCACCTATCACCAGATATGAAGGGGCTGCATAGGCATAGCAGAGTGACAGATGGTCATTGACTCAACGAGTCTGTCAGAGACATAGCAAGAGTGATTAGAAGGGCACTAACCACACTCATGAGCAGGGTGGGGTCAGGTGAGGCAGGTGATGGTCCTAGAAATAGAAGACACTTAATCCTGAGAGTAAGTGGCCTTCTTAAAATTTGAGTTTGTCTCACTTGTCTCACTCACCTTCTGTTGCTAGTTGTAGGTCTGATTTCTAATCTAAGTCATCTATTCCACAGATTTGTTGAACAATTCTGGACAAGTTAGAGATTCCTCTGATGCAACTCCAAATTCTCTTTAAGTAAAATGGGGACAGTCTCTGCCACATCTATATGTAGGCTGCTGTGAGGATCCATGGGATGTGAAACATAAACATATGCATTATTGTTTTTGCTTCTTCCTACTATTTCAAATTCTAATGGTTTTAAATGTGTATTCTCCATTAATAGTTCTTATTACTAGACTAGCCAGGCGTAACTGGACCCCTGGGGAGAGTTTTTAAAAGGACAATTATCTAGGCCTGGTCTCAGATTAACTAAAATAGACTCTTAGTCTGGGACTCAGGAATCAGAATATTTTATACTATTTGTCCATTAACTATACCTGTTTATGTAACTTATTTTTCTAGTGGTTACTCTACCTTGCCATGTTTAACTTTATATATTTTATACCACTTCATGCCACATCTACGAACCTTACAATACATACTTCTAGTTCACCTGCCTCTTTGTGCTACTATTTGAATTTTTTTTTCTTGCCTGGGGATTGAACCCAGGGACACTTAACTACTGAGCTACATCCATAGCCATTTTTATTTTGTATTTTGAGACAAGGTCTTGCTAAATTGCTTTAGGGCCTTGCTAAGTTGCAGAGGCTGGCCTTGAACTTGCAATCCTCCTACTTTAGCCTCCAAAGCCCCTGGGATTATAGGAATGGGCCACATTCCTATTTGTGCTACTATTTGAATACATTTTGTTTTACATGTGTTATGAACCCCACAATGCATTTTTTTTTCTGTTTTTTACTCTGAATGACCAATGACCTATTCAAAAAATTATAAGAGAAGATAATATCATGTATTTATCTTGATTTTTAATCTTTCTCGTACTCATTTCATTGTGTATCTCCACTTAGATTAAAATTCTCTTTCTTAAGATGATACAATGTTTTTTTTTTTTAAAAAAAAACACAATACCTTTATTCTGTTTATTTTTTTTAAATATGGTGCTGAGGATTGAACCCAGTGCCTAATATGTGCTAGGCAAGCACTCTACCACATGGCAATAGATTCTCTCCATTTTTGTTCATCTGAAAATATTATTTATTTTACTTTCATCTTTGATATTTTTATTGGGTATTGAATTCTGTGTTGGTAGATATAATTTTATTTTTTTTTTATTTTTCAGTATTTTAAAGATGTTCCATTGTGTTCTACCTTTCATAGTTCCTGAAGATTAGCCTGCTGTGATTTTTACCTTTAAACTTTGGTTTTTTGTTTGTTTATGATCCCTTTTGGGGCATTCTCTGAGTTTCTTAGACCAGTACTTTGATGTCATTATTTTATAAAATTCTTAGCCATTATCTCTTCAAATATTTCTTCTGACTCTTCCTCTCATCTCTTCAATCACATTATGTTAGATTACTTATATTGTATTATTGATCCTGTGTGCTCAGTTCCCTGTGGGCTTTTCCCTTTCAACTTTATTTTTTTGTGTGTTTAATGGGAATAATTTATCTTCATAGTTGCATCATTTCTTTGTTCAGCTATTTTGAGTCTAGCTATGGATTCATTGAAGAAATTTTCCTGATATCATTTTAACATTTTTCAAGCATTTACATTTGCCTGTTAAAATTTCCATGTCTGGGCTGAAAATCTGTTTATGTATGTTGTCTACTTTTTCCAATTAGATATTTTAACATATCAGTCACAGTTATTTTAAAATTCCTGCTTGTTACTGTCATCATCTAGGTAATTTATGAACCTAATTGTTTACTGTTGTATATGTTTTCTTTTGTTTTATAGTTTTCAATTGTATAGACATTATGTTTGGGATAGTAAAGACTGAAGTAATATTTATGCCTAGAAACAGGCAAGTCCTTTTGTTAGTCCATTTGTGTGTGGCATGGAATTGATCTAATCAGGACCTGAATTGGACTTGGTTCTTGTTGTTGCTGTTGTTATTTTCAGTACATTATGGCTTGCAGACTTTTCTAAAAATTGACTGCTAATGCTGTGTGCTTATTTATATTCAAGATTTATGGCATTTTCACTCTTGAGTCAAAATCTGATTTTTACTTATTCTCTGACCCAAATATATTGGGTTCTTGGGTGTGGAGGGTTTTTTTCAGTGCTTTTGTTCTGTTCCCTATTGGAGTCAAGTTTTCCTTATATGTTTATACTATATTTCCTGTACTTGACCTTTCTCCGTGGTTGGCAGCTATTGCTCATTTGGCCATTTTCCTTCTCCTTCTCCTTCTCCTTATCCCAGGGACTGAACCCAGAGGTGCTCAACCACTGAGCTGGCTCCACAGCCATTTTAAATTTTGAGACAGGGTCTCCCTAAGTTGCTTAGGGTCTTGCTAAATTGTTGAGGCTAACCTTATCTTAGTGAACTTCCTGTCTCAGCTGCCCAAGACTCTGGGATCACAGGATTGCACCATCTGTAATCCAAAGTAAAGCAGTTTGTCTTGTAATCATGGTTAGTCTTGAGCTGGAGTCTCCCTTCCTTCCTCAAGTGGAGCAGACCATGTTTATTGTAGGAGTCAAGACTTGGGCCCAGGAAGTTTTATTCTCCTTCCCTATGTGTTGAGATATTTTTCTTTTACTCTTGTGCATATAGTAATTATATTGGCCTATATCAAAAAGCTAGAGGTTTTCTATCCCTCTCTCTTGGCTAGGTTGACTTTGCCTTTCTGCTTCTTCCTTAGAAATAGAGGTCTTTACCTGGCCTGTGGGCAGGAAGGTTTTGAATTTCCTCCTCTAGCAGCTTAAAGATTTTTCTTGGTAAGAGAAAATGGTCCTTGGACGCATTTTTATACCTATCCCTTAGCAGCCATAGATCACCCAGCTCATTCTTACCTGCAGTGCAAGGAAGTGTCTTGCCTCAATTTTCTCATAACATCCAATGGAAGCCTATGGGAACAAGCTTGCCCATTAAGGCAGTTTCCCCTGTGTGTAGAACACCAGCTGTTCCAAAGTGCCACATCAGCTCAGGTGATTTAATGAATAAAGGATTGTGATATGCTTGTAGGAAAGAGGAGTCCTTAGGAAGTAAATCTATTTTATAGAATTTCTTTTATGTTATGTATGTAATTAAGATTATAACACCAAATCCAACATAGTTTTCCACTCTCTTCAAACGGGAACATTTTAAGATTTAGAGTAGAGGCTAATGGGAGCAAAGATTTACCTGCTCCTCCTAACAATTCTGGAAGTTTCTGGATCTTTGATAGCAACCTATGCCTTTAGCTCTTCACGGCTAACCTAGTTATTATCAGAAGGGAGAAATTTACCTAATGGTCTCCACACAAAGCATGGGAGGCTGTAGTCTGATTTCCAGGGTTCTTTATCTACTGAAATTACCCCTCACCTTGATTTCCATTCAGAGTCCTCAGCTGCTCTGGACAAGGAAAGTGTTTTGGTGTTTGGCAAAGGGAGACTATGACCATGTATCTTTTCTCAGTGCTGTATTTCCTGTTGGCAGAATCGCATTGCTAAGCGCAGCAGAAAACTGGTGGACTATGACAGTGCCCGCCACCACCTAGAAGCCCTGCAGAGCTCCAAAAGGAAGGATGAGAGCCGGATCTCTAAGGTAGGGATAAATTCCATGGTTGATATTACTCTCCATGTCTTATGACTTGTAGTAGCTCTGCTTTAAACTTAAACATGGTGCTACAGGCTTCTTTTTGTTATTGTTTAATAAGTTTTTATGTTATTGTAGAGTTCATATGGGTAAGACAGACTCCCACATTCTGATCCCAATAAACTTTGTCCCCTTGCAAGTATCGCAAGATCAAAGAAAGTGTGTCTGCACTTCTTTCTATGGTGTGATCTATGATCCATGCTGAAATGTAGATTCAGATGGGAAACCAAGCATGAAATATTCAGATGTAGCTCATGATTGAGAATGCAGACATATGCTAAATTTCCATGACATTACTTTTCTTTTAGAAATCCATTTCAGTAGCTTTTATCATGTATGTCTATAATTTACAGATGGCAGCTACTGATGTCACCTATAGGTGACACTATAGACCACTGCCTTTGATTCCAGTCTTGCCTTTTCTCATCTGCCTACAGACAGCTTCCTGAATGGTCTTTCTACATAATTATATATGTTTCTCTACTGCTTATATCTTTTAATGATTCTCATTACCTGTAGGAAAAATTCTAAATCCCTTAGTATGGCATGCAAGACTTTCACAAATTGGTTATAAATTACCTGCCTGTCCTTATTGACTTTCAAGTCTTGCCCCATCCTCTTCTCCTTTCATGCACACACCCTCAGCAGAGCCTATGCAACCTACATTCAGTTCCTTGGCAGCCATAATTTCAGTTGTCTTCACAGAGGCTTCATAGATACCAGGCACCCTGTTCAACACTTCACCTGCTTCACCTTTCCTTCATACCCACCACAGACATTAAGGTGCAGAAAGGTAAAGGAGTCTGACAAATTCTCATGTTCATTAAGCTAGATTACCATTCAAAGGACCACCACCTTTATGTATTGTGATGTGTACCTGACCCACTTCTTTAGCAGATTCTGATTCTTAATATTCAGTTAAAATATCACCTTCTCTCTATGTAATGTTTTCTCTTCCCTGTACCACCTTTCCTATAGAATGCCCCATAATGGATAATAAGTCCCTCTTGGAAATACACTGCATTGTTTAGGCTTCTCACTGGACTGGGACTATCTTGGGGGAGTATCCATGCCCACTATCCAGAGCAAAGCTGTTTACTAGACATGTAGTTTAGTTAAAAAGTTTTTGTAGAAAAATAAAACTACAATTTTTTAAAAAAATGAAAAATTGCAAAGAAACTTCAGGAGTAGCCATTGTAATCAATCCAGTTTCCTGTTTAATGAGTCTTAATATTCCATGTTTCATTAAAAAAATGGTGTAGAATTTAGCCAAATGTCTCTTTTTTTCCAAAATCTTTCCAGGATGCCATAAGGCTGTTCCTAGTTTATACTAAATGATTCTGTTCTGTATAGAAATGGCTTGTTTTTCTTTTTAAATGTAAACCATGTTATGTATAATTTCTAGGCAGAAGAGGAATTTCAAAAAGCACAGAAAGTGTTTGAGGAGTTTAATGTTGACTTACAAGAAGAGTTACCATCATTATGGTCAAGGTAAAAATGTTTCTGAACATGCTACACCTGCCCCTATTAGAAAATCAAGAACAGTAAATATCCCTTATGTTGTCCTTATTGTCTGTGCTGCTTCAGTACTATCCAGTGAAGTGTTCTATACGTGCATAGTCTAGTATAGACATGTGGCTACTGAGCCCGTGGAATATGGCTAGTATGAATGAGGAACTGAATTTCAACTCAAATTTATTTTAATTTGCTTAAAAATTTGAACAACCAGATGTGTTTAGCTGCTGATATATTGCATGACACTGTTTTAGACCTTGATGTATTTCTCAGATAAAGACCCACATCTCCATTAGAGGCATTAGGGGAGCTTAAATGTTTCCCTTTTAGCTATTCAGGGAACTTCCTTATTCTAAGAGCTTGTCTAATCTTCTGGCTTGATGCTAACCCCTGTACTTTCAGCCCTGACCTGTTAACATGAATTCCATTTCTGTTTCAGGCACTAAATATTCTTCTTATTTACTGGTGCTCTTCATTTATCATGACATAAAGTGCCTTTTCCATAGTTTGTTCTATTTTTTCTACTCTTTAGTAGAACCAACAATTTGCTGGGTGAAGTGAGGTCTCATGTTTCTTGGTTTCCATCAGCACCCTCATGATACCATCCCTAATAAATAGAATTGTGCTTGCATGACATATTGATTTAAGTCAAATCCTCTAGCTTTCCCCCACATGGTTGCCATAAAGAAAATGTGTCAGTCACTTTTTGCATCACTGTAATCAAAATATCCAACAAGAACGACTTAGAGGAGGAAAAGTTTATTTTGGCCTATTGTTCCAGAGGTTCAGTCCATCCTCAGCTGAGTCCATTGCTCTGGGCCCAAGTGAGGCAGAACATCATGGCACAAATGTGGGACAGAAGTACACTGCTCCATTCAGGGCAGCTAGGAAGCAGAGAGGGGGTTTGGGGAAGGGCCACAGGGAAGATGAACCCTTCCAGGGCATATTCCCCTCCTCCAGCGATGCCCCACCTTCCTACAGTCACCACACAATCAGTTCACTCAGACTACAGTGGATTGATTAGGTTACTGCTCTCATAATTCAATCATTTCACCTCCAAACATTTCTCCATTAACACAGGGACTTTTTTGGGATACCTCTTATCCAAACCATAGCATCTTCCTATAGACAAAATTCTATTTAGGTAGAGCTTTCTACCTAACCTCCAAAACCATAGTTATTTTGATGATCTTGGTTGAACTTTGTCTATTTCCAGGGTCATCCTTAATGCTCTCAAATTTTGGCTGATAAAAGACAGTATTAACTTTTGAACTACTGAAATAGCTACATTAAATTATATCTACTTTACTGTAAACCTAGCCTGTAGGAAATATCTCCCTCAATGTTCAGCCATTACTCAATGTTAAGCATATGCAATTATCTCATTGTTCATCTGAATTTATTCATTCTTTCAACATAACTTCTCTTTTTTGGTACTGCCATTCCTGGGTTCTCCAGCCTGCTATCTTTGAAGCTGTTAACTTTGGAAAATTAAATGACAACCAAAGGAAACAATCTATCATTTTTCATTGTACTTATGTTCTTTTCCCAGCTGTATTGTTCAACTGTAAAATTGAAGTTAGCACTTCAAATCTTCTGTGCCTCCATGGTGAAATGCATAGGACACACAGTAATGAACATGTTTGAAATCTTGCATTAAGGTGTTCATACCCTTTAGAATGTTGGGTGGAATGTTCAGTATGTATCTGCTAGGTTCAGTTGAGATACAGTATTGTTCAAGTCCTGCATTTCCTTATTTATAGTCTGCCTAGTTGTTCTAGTCATTACTAAAACTGAGGCATTAAGGTCTCCAACTATTATTTGGCCTATTTCTCTGTTTAATTCTATCTATTTTTGCTTCATGTATTTTGGGGCTATATTCTTAACTGTATATGTATTTATAATTGGTGTGATTTCTTAATTATTTTATCTGTATGTCTATTTTTTCTCTTTACATTACATTGAATCTATTTTGGCATATATTACTATAGCCTTGTGGTATCTGAGGGGACAGAACATTTTTGTTATGGTGTTGTGGTAGGAGTGAAGTGCTACTATCCTTTTATAGCTCTTTGCATGGTCCATCTTTTCCAGTCTTTTACTTTCAGCCTATTTGCATCTTTGAATATAAAATATGCCTCTTGTGAACAGTTGGATCATTGGGGTGTGTGTGTGTATGTGTGTATGTGTGTGTGTGTGTGTGTGTGCTGTTACCCATTTTCCCAACCTCTGCCTTTTGATTGGTGTACTTAGTCCATTTACCATTAATGTAGATACAGATAAAATAGCATTTATGTCTTCCATTTTGATAACTGCTTTCTGGATGTCCCATGTCTTTTTTCTTATTTTACTCCTCCATTATTGCCATGCATGAAAAACTGTTTCAAAATTTTTGGCATGTAAAGGAGAAGAGAAATGAACTATGAGTTGGAGGGCAATGTGGGTTCAGTTTCAAAAGAAAAAAATACTAGAGTAGATTTGTATGTTTTAAAGGAATTTATAATTCATAGGGGATGAAAGAGAAGTATTACAAAGAAAGAAGGACTCCAAAAAGAATGGTTGTTATATTTTTTAAAAAAATGAATAAAGCCAGTGTTTGGTGGAAAGGATATTCTAGATTGAAGAGGAACATTAATAAAGGCATGGGATTTAAGCATATCTGTGGGTTCATGGAACACTAATTAGTTTAACATAGCATGAAATCAGAGTGAGAGTATCCAGGAGAGGCTTGTGGTGAGAAAGCAGGAGAGAGGCAGAGGCCAGATTCAGTTGTCATTCATTCCTCTGATATTTACTGACCATCCATTATGTGCCAAATTCTCTTTTAAATACCACAGTTTCTACCCTGGAAGTGTTTTCTTAAAGCTTACTTTGAAGGATGGAGAAAGGCAGTTACCAAGAAAATAAATAAAAAACAATATGTATCAGGCAATAAGTTCAATGCAGAAAATAAAACAAGTTAATTTAATACAAAGTGACATAGTACATAGTTTGAGTGGGTAAGGAGGGCATCTCTCCAAGACAAAAGCAATATATAAAGAAAAGGAAGCTTTAGAAAAATGCTGAATTTGAATAATCATTAGGAAGTCCAAATCATATATTTATTAAGGTAAGTCTGGAGCTCAAAAAGAGGATTGGGAGTCCAGATGGTAATGATGCTCTAAAAGTTGATCAGATAGATAGTAAGACAGATCATATGGCAAGGTGGCAAGGTGAGGGTCAAAGACAGAAACTTTGAGAGTACCAATGTGTAAGGGATGTGCAGAAGAGGACACTGCAGAAAAACCTAACAAGAAATAATCAGAGAAGCACCAGGAGTTCTGAAGAGCGGTATCATAAAAAGGTAAGAAAGGAGAGAATATTTAAAATGAGTAAGTGCCAAGAATATCATATGTAGAAAGATTAAGCAGGTATATCACCTCTGGTGAACTTCTAGAGATGTTTCAGTGTTGCCTCTGATGAATTTCTAATGTAGTTTCAGGAGCTAAATTACAGGCATTGGAGACTTTGGGAAGTGAGAAAGCAGTGACAATGAATCTTGACTACAATGGACAGGAGGATTAGTGATGGCAGATATTGAGAGTTTGATGGGGCAAGGGAAACCTGTGAAAAATAGCTCTTATCATTTTGAGAAGATGGTGGTGGAAGTGGCAGAGGTGGGATGGTACTGAATATATGTGGGACACTAGGGGATAAGGATAAGAAGTGAGGGTGTTGAGAGAACTAGCCTGAGAGCATTGGGGTCTATGCCACAGGGCAAAGCTTGATAAAGCAGGAGTTGGACCTGAGCAGGGGCTAGAGCTGGAAGAAAATGAGCATTGATTTCACAAATGTTAACAGAAAGGTCAGCAGGTGGATGGAAATGAAGGCATGAGGAATCCCATGGGCTAGAAAATTAGGTTAGTAAGTGTATCACTGGATTGCCCCATTTCAGAGGTGGAGCAGTTGGGAATGATGGCAAAAGCAAGGATGCGCCATGGTCATGGCAGGATGTGTACTTGGGATGTTGAAGTCATGAGCTGGGGCCTTGTGTTTGGGGTAAGCAGTCACATGGATTTTGAGATCTGCTGTGTTAGTGTTAGGATTGGGTGAAGGAGAAAGTAGGAATCCATGACACACACCCTTGTGCTCAGTGAGTGGATTGGGAGGGAGAGTTAGGAGGATGTCAGTGAGCTGTGAAGAGGTTTAGTACATAGATCATAAATTTCAGCAGCAGGAGTTTGAGGAGAGTTTGGAGAAAATGCCTCTTCCTCCCACTCCATCTCCATGGTAAATGGGAGAGCAGAGAAGGTTCCTTCCATTGAGGGGGTCCCAAGGAAGCCCTGATATCCACCTCTGGGAAAGGATGGTTTCTCTTTGGGCATTGTAGAGGGAGAGTGTTCTGGCTTGAAAACTGAGGCTGTGATAAGCTCAGCTGTCAAATTTTCCCACTGGATCCAAGGAAAAGGAAATATCTAATAAAGAAATCAAGTCAATTTTGACAGCTAATCACAAAGGGCCCAGTGATGCCACAGAGAAGTCCTTTGTGGACCTGGTAGTGTCTCAGTCCCTTGTTGATGAAGAACTTATGAAATAAGTCTTTCAAGCAGGTAATATCGAAATCCAGAGTCTGGTACTCTTGTGTATGTATATTTCACTGCTGGTGACACTAGTCTTTTATAAACCAGAAGTTTCAGTGAAACAGATGCCAAGTTTATTATTCCTTGGATTTTTCATTCATTCATTCATTCATTCATCCATCCACCCATTCATCTGTGGATTATTCACTACTAAGTACCAGGTGCTCTATTAGGTGCTGGGGCCATGTTAGTGACCTAATCAAAAACAATCCCTATTTTGAGAGAGTCTCTGATTTCATAAATTAGAGAAAATCACTATATGATAAATTGCTTCACAAATATTGAATATAAATATGAATAAATCATACTAGTTAACTTCTAAATTCTACAAAGAAACACTGTATTAGAAAAACATAGATACTAGTTTAGTTATTTTAAATAAAGCATTTCTGTTGTTGTACCAATTAATTTTCTAAATAATAATTGATAAAACAACATAAGTTATGCTGTATATTAGGAAACAAAATTTAAGCATAGAGGAATCGGATTTATATTTTGCTAAATGTATCCACATTCCAACACTTAATAGAAAAGTCCTTGAGAATGATTAAAAAGCTAGAAATATGAATTGGGGATTCACAAAAGGAGAAAAATTAATGGTCAATAGATAAAAAAGTGTTATTCTTAATTATAGGAATATAAGTACAAAAGCTGGTGAGATGTCAACTTTTAGGTAACAAATTTATAAAGATTGCATACCATTGGGTACCTTATATATAAGGTCATATTCAAAGTCGAGGGTGTATAAATGGCCCAGCCTGGTGGGAACAGTTTGACAGATCAAAATTCTGTTGTCCATTTATTTCACCAGAATGTACATGCAAGAAACATATTCCAATAAAATTATAAAATTGTGCACAAAGTTTAAATCATAGGTATTCATCAGGGCTTTGTTTATCACAATAAAAAGAAACAACTGTAGTTTCTATCAACTTTCTATCAACAATATTTTCTCTCCCATCTGTACTTAACCTTTTACTTAAATCCAACCTATCCTTTTGGGCAGCCTATTTGACCTCTGCAGCAGATGTTTGCAGCTGGCACAGGGCCTGTTACTCCCTCTCCTCTTGGTTTCTTTAGCTGTTTGTTATATCCACTTATTTTTGACATATAGTGGGACATGAATATTTGGGGTACTTAACCCTCATGTATGGTTTTGTAATTTCTGTATTTCTCTTTCAATATATTCCTATTGTGTGAAAAGAGTGTATGTCCATTAATAAGCCCCTCTGGGTGCTTCACCAACTATACTGTAAGTTCATGAAGCCTACCACTGTACATGCTCCCAGAGCTTGATAAGTCCTTTGATGAGGGATTGAAGGGGGAAAGGTGTCAAGAACATAGTCTTAGTTGATTGGAGTTCTAGGCTGGGTCACAGATTATCAACTCAAAGTGCCCCAGGAAGATTTCTTGGCAAGAGTACAATGAGTACTCTTTGCTCAGTTTTCCAACAAACTGCCATGTTGGTTAGTGTCCTCAAATCCAGGTACAATCCCTCTTCTTTCCTCTATCTGAAACATGTTGGCCAGACGTGGTGGTGCATGTCTGTAATCCTAGCAGCTTTAGAGGCTGAGGCAGGAAGATTGCAAGTTCTAAGCCAGCTTCAGCAACTTAGCAAGGCTCTAAGTAACTTAGTGACACTCTGTCTCTACAAACAAACAAACAAACAACAACAACAAAAAAAAACAACGAGCTGGGGATGTGGCTTGTGGCTTAGTTGTAGCACCACTTGACTCACTCCCTAGTACCAAAAAAAAAAAAAAGTGTCTGAAACATGTCTAAGCACTGCCCATGCCTGTAAATAAACATGCTTTGTGGGTTGGCAAGGGCCCCTACCCTAAAGAACCTTCTACCTTACTAGACTGTCATTCTCCACCTCTGGTCTGACATTTCTGAGTACTTAACTATTTCCTGAACACACTGTGCCAGTATTTTCCTTATTAATATATGCCTATATGCATTTATATATACATGTATGTAAATATCTATAGTTGTGTTTGGTATCTGTGGGGAACAGGTTCCAGGACCCTCTGCAGATATGAAAATCCACGTATGCTCAAGTATGTTATATAAAATGGCATTGTTTGTATATAACCTACATATTTCCTCCCATATATGTTAAATCATCTCTAGATTATGTATGATTCCTAATACAATTACTATATATATACATATATAAATGTGTATATATATATATATTTGCTATGCTATATTTTTTAGGGAACAAAGAATCATCTGTATATATTCAGTGCAAGTGGATTTTGTAATATTTTTAATCTGTGGTTCAATCAGAGGTTGCAGAATCCATGGATATAGACAGCCAACTGTATATAGTCACATATATATGATTAAGTCTGTGATTTGAAATAAGTTAAAAGAAAAATATGAAATCAGGGTCACACAATGATTGTGGGTATAAGAAACTAAGATTAAGTAGGAATTTAAGGTACAGTATTAGTCACAAAAGAAGAAATTCTTTTGGTGGGATGGATTTACCACCCAATTATTAATTAGTTTCTGAATGTCTAAGTTGAACTTCAAGCTTTTATTTTGTTTAAAATCGTAAACAATGTAATTTAAGCACAGGATTTGGTGGAATATCAAAATCCTTGCTAAACAGCATTTCTTTCAAGCTGTCCATGTTTTTTTTTTCCTATTGCATTTTCTTCCTTTTGTTTTCAAATACTCATTCCTCACATATTAATGATATGACTTTGACCATTTATTCTTTCTTTGCCTTAGTTTTCCTGGTCAATGGTGATCACTGCCTTAGGACATAGTTAGGAAAATTAAGTGAGGCAGCATATAAAATTACCTAGGTGGCAACTGTTTCTCTTGGCTCTGATAAGGAGGGAGCCTTTATCCTCCTCAGCTTATGGACATCCTACTCACAGCAAGGTGTGACTCAATCACAAGAGTTTCATTATTTTCTGTCCTTTTATCTCATTATCTATATAAGATGGGTGCCTACTGTATATAGGCACATTTTATTACCCAGCTACATTATAAAATCTTTCAATATAACTTGGTCCACTATTAGATCTACCTATGCATTTGGTACCAAAGTCCTTACTAATTCAGGATTGAGATTTAGAATCTAATTAAATAGTAAGGCTATTGGGGTTCATATTAAGAATGTCATTGAAACAAAAATGTACATTAATTAAAGTATTAATTTTGTCAGATGTATTCAGTAGGATTGAGTTAATTAACATAGAGTCCAAAGATTCCTTATTTAGAGACAGGGGTATCCTGGGGAAATGGGGCTGAATCCACATCTGGCTGATACACTTACTGTTAGGGTCCTAAAAATGAGAACCAGGGGACTTTGCTTATGTTCCAGGATATTCCCCCAATGGTTTTCCGTCATAAACACATTTGAAACAGTGCTGATATGCAGCTTATGATTTTATTTGTTCAATAATAGTATGCTCTTACTTTTGCTGAACAATTAGGATTAATTTATGGGTTTTGTTATTTCCCATTACACAGAGTTGGGAGTACAAATATATAATACTGATATTAGACCATTAAATCTTTTTAATTTATTGTTTTTAGATATATATGACAGTAGAGTGTTTTGTTTTGTTTTTGCTACCAGGGATTGAACTCAGGGGCACTTGACCACTGAGCCACATCTCCAGCCCTATTTTGTATTTTATTTAGAGACAGGGTTTCACTGAGTTGCTTAGTACCTTACCATTGAACTCGTGATTCTTCTGCCTCAGCCTCCTGAGCCACTGGCATTATAGGTGTGCACCACTGTGCCCTGCTAATAGAGTATATTTTGTCATATTATACATACATGGAGTACAATGCATTCTAAAACTATTATGTTTTATAAAAATAAAAAAATAACCTTGATCTTGATATTGTCAAGACTTATGCCTAAAATACAAACAAATTCTCAGGATGGTGGTCCAAAAGTGTTGTCTCTGTATCAGAGACATCAGCATCTCCTAGAAATTTGTTGGAAGTGGACATTCTCAGTCTCCACCCGCTGTTGAATCAGAAGCAAATGCTCCAAGTGTTTCTGATGCACACTGAAGTTTGAAAGCCACTGTCCTGAGGTTGTAACTGAACTTCAGAGGAGGCCATGCTGGGTACCAAAAATGGTTTTTTGTTTATTAACAGATGAGGTAAGGTTGGGAATGCTTTAAGTATTTTTATTTCATCCAGTGTTACTCAAAATAAGAACACCTGGTTTTCATATGTTTCATTGCCATTGTAAATCTGATTTTTGCTAACTACTCTCTCCTTCTCTTATCTCTCTTTGTATTTCCACATGGTAGACGAGTTGGATTTTATGTTAATACTTTCAAAAATGTCTCCAGCCTTGAGGCCAAGTTTCACAAGGAAATTGCAGTGGTGAGTAATGATAATTATTTTTACAAATGGAATGCAAAGTAAAGGAAGGGTTTCTTGTGGCAGTGTGTTATTACTCTGTAATGTTTGCAGTTGTTTGTAGTGACCACATAGTTCTTTACACTTTTGAAGATTTTATTACAGCCTCACAGTCTCTTTTTCCTTTTCGGTGAGCTTATGAAGTTGGAATGTCAAGTGCTACTTTAAGATGATGAAAAAAGGGTCTCAATATATCCAGAGAGCAGTTCTATTCTTGACTGATATTTTCTTAGCTCAACAGGGTAGTTATGTGACTATTTCTAATAGAATAAGTTTAAATGGTAAGCTTTTGTTATCTGCTCTGTAAAATGGTGAAAAAGTATGTTTTGATATTTTACATCTATTTATGTTTAGTTTGTTTGAGTTTTGATGTGGATTTTAAAGTGGAGCCATAGGCAGAATTTCAGTGGTCCTGAGACCACCCTAACTCTCATAAGATTCTTAGTTTCTCAATAGATAATGTTTTTCCCCTGGGAAAATATCCTGGGTTTGCACAAGGATAATGTTCAGCTAATAGACAAGTGGCTTCTGTCCTCTTAGCTCTGCCACAAATTGTATGAAGTGATGACAAAATTGGGCGACCAGCACGCTGACAAGGCCTTCACCATCCAAGGAGCTCCCAGGTAGGCCATTGTTCAGAGCTGAGTTCTTGTCTGTACCTTCATCATGCTACTTGTTGAAATTTCTGCAGTCTGTAGACCAGCATGTTATAAGAGTCTGAAAGGAATCTTGCTATGAAGAGGCTAATTCTCACCTCATTTCTCTGCTTTTACACTTACTTCTGGTCTTTGGCTGCCCCATGAGGGTTCTTATTGTCACAGAAGAAATTACTAGCTGCCTCTCTGCTTAATATAGGCCCTGAGAGCAATTGAAATAAATAAATAATCTACTTGCCCACTCATTACTTTTTCTGAAAGAGAAAGGAATTGTCCAAACTCCTGACACCTACTACTGATTCTTATCATTGGTGCTGACATCTATGATGAATGCATTTTGGGAAAGGAAAGAAGTAGGCGAGGCCTCAGCTTTTCATACTCTGCTGTGACTGATCTGGCAAACACTGTTCTGTTATTTCATTGCACATAGTTATTGTTTGTATGCCAGGTTTGGCTTCACACTAACTCTCTCCTGTGATTTTATTTTTTTTAATTGATTTTATTTTTTTAAATACACAACAGCGGAATGCACTACAATTCTTATTACACATATAGAGCACAACTTTTCATGTCTTTGTATATAAAGTATGTTCACACTAATTCATGTATTTATACATGTACTTTGTTTTTTTTTTGCATTACAATTCTTGTTAGACTTATATATCACAATTTTTCATATCTCTGTTTGTATATAAAGAATGTTGATACCCGATTTGTGTCTTAAAACATGTACTTTGAATAATGATGTCCATTACACTCTACCATCCTTGCTAATCCCCTGCCTCCTCCCTTTCCCTCCCACCCCTCTGCTCTATCTAGAATTCATCTATTCCTCCCATGCTCCCCCTCCCTACCCCACTATGAGTCAGCCTCCTTATATCAGAGAAAGCATTCACATTTGTTTTTTGGGGATTGGCTAACTTCACCTAGCATTATCTTCTCCAATGCCATCCATTTACATGCAAATACCATGATTTTATTCTCTTTTATTGCTGAGTAAAATTCCATTGTGTATATATGCCACATTTTTTTTTTATCCATTCATCCACTGAAGGGCATCTAGGTTGGCTCCACAGTTTAGCTATTGTAAATTGTGCTGCTATAATCATTGATGTGGCTGTGTCCCAGTAATATGCTGTTTTTAAGTCCTTTGGGTATAGTCTGAGGAGAGGGATAGCTGGGTTAAATGGGGGCTCTATTCCCAGATTTCCAAGGAATCTCCATAGTGCTTTCCATGTTGGCTGCACCAATTTGCAGTCCCACCAGCAATGTATGAGAGTTCCTTTTTTTCATCCTTCTCAGGCACTGGCTACTCAGAGAATGCAGATTAGCAAGTCTTAGACTAGAAGTCAGAAGATCCTGCTTTTAGTTTTATGATTCTGCTGTTATCTTGTTTTGCTTTCTTTGAGTAAATCCAGTAAACTCTCAGCCTAAATATTTCATTTATTTTAAAATCATTGGACAAAATATGATACCACTGACTGAAATAGTTTCTAAGGTAAAATGCAGTCCTGACATTCTATGTTTGCAATTTTAATATCAATCAGTGCAAACAATCATACAGTTGCATTTTTGGAAATACACATAGTCATACACAAACATCTACATATGCCAGTGTCTGGATTCCTCTGGAGATAACTAGTTTTCTCATTTTCTATTCTTGAATTCAAAATTTTAGTGCCTGCTAAAGCTGCTATCCCAAGTTCTCTAAGGGAAAGAACATTGCCTAAAGGGACATATGAAAAGGGCAGAGTTAATGTTTAAATATGGTGATTACAATATTGGGTTAGAAACAAAGGAAGAATTAGAATAGGACTATCAAAATGACTTTTGGATATTTTAAAATTAAGTATATTAAAAATATTTAAGGCTTGCTTCCTTAAATGGAAATGAGAGAAACAATTCATGGAAAATTTCAGTGTTGCTGAATCAGATAAAGTAAGGAGAAAGTGGGGTCATGACCACTTAACAAATGTTCCTTTCATTTTTTTCCAACATTCCTCTACAGAATGAGGTGGTGAGTGAACTCGGTGGAATCTCTTTGGAGCCTAGACTGGGGCTGTGTTTCCCATCAGAAGCCATGATTGTTGGCAGGTGGCCCCAATCATGTGGCATGTCTATTCTCTAAAGGCCCTTAAATATGTAGACCATGCTGTTGTGTTTGTGCTTGTTAATTTTAGGGTACAGATTCTGTTCCTTCTAGCTGGTAGACTTTAGAAATTCTTAGAGTAAGATGTGTCCTGATCTTCTTCATTGCATTTAGCTGTTTCTAAGCATCTGGCTTGGTTCCAGGAACATGGTAGGTTCTCAACAAACATCACTGAATCTTGCCCATCACATGGTTTGTTTGCACATTTCAGGGTGTCTGAGTTGAGTCACTGTTTTATAAGGTGTAGAGAGAAATTATTACTGAATTTATTTTCAAATGTTATCAGAAAGCATACTTCTACAAAAGGTTTATTAATACTCTCTTAAGGTGCCTTTGAATATGAACTTTATCATTTTATGCATAGTTATTTTTATAGACTTTGATATGCCAAAATTCTTTTGGAGGTATAAAGTGAAACTGGTTAAATTAACTCAGCTGATGTTTGGAAGAATCTTTAGTCTGTTTAATATAGTGAAAAGAACAAGAGGTTTGCATTACTAAGACCTGAATTCAGAATCACTATATTGCTGAGAGCTTTTAGGTTATTTTTTTTCAACCTTCTGCACCCCACTTTCCATATCTGTAAAGTGGGGCAATAGCGCATAGCTGTTTTGAAGATAAGAAATAATATATGCATTGGGTCTGGCTAAGAGTGGACAGTTAATGGTACCAGTTATCACCATTCTGTTACTAATAACCAGAATAACCCTGGAATTGGGGAGTAGGATACCAGTACCTGTTAAGTTTCAGGAGTTCCCTGGCATGGAGAATCTCTGATCAAATGAGACCTGTTTCTCAGAAGGACCCTTGTTTAACCCCCGGTGTTCATCCAGTGATTCAGGTCCTCTCCGCATTGCAAAGACACCATCACCACCGGAGGAGGCTTCACCCTTGCCAAGCCCCACAGCCAGTCCCAATCATACACTAGCGCCTGCGTCCCCTGTACCAGCACGGCCCAGGTCGCCTTCACAGGTAGGAGACCACACACACTGGGGGATAAAACTCATGTGAGGTGACCCCATGGCTCATTCTCTGGTGCTGGGCCATTAAGAGATGTTTCCAACTAGGAAAACTGAGCTGTGAGCCTGTAGGCATTGTAATTACCACTGAGAAGTCCAGTTCTCTTGTTTGACTTTTATATTTCTTCCCATGCTTTATGTTTTAACCTCTTGAGACTTCTTGCCACATTCTCATCTTCCTCGGGTTAGCTTGTACTTTTCTTCTATCCTATCTCGCTCTCAGAAGCCTACCTTTCATGGGCTAGGGATGTGGCTTAGTGGTAGAACACTTGCCCAGCATGCATGAGGACTTGAGGTTGAGGCCAAGTACTGCAAAAAAGAAAAGAAAAGAAAAAAAAAAGAATTATTATTATTTTTTTTTCAAAGGTTCATTTAATCCTACCTTCCTCATTCTTTTTAATGCTTTAGGTTGTACTTGGGGCAAGTACTGCCAAGAAAAGCAGTTAAGTTTATGTATCATTTCACACTTTTGTATTACTCACAGTTTATTGTGCATGAGTAGCCACTTAATAAAACTGCGTGGACCAAATGATTGAAAGAAACAGTAAGGGCCCGTTGAAAGTAACCAAATGGGAAAATTATCATCTTTATGTTTCCTACTTTGGGTGAAAATAAAAGGCCTATAGGAAAATTTGAATTCCCAGCCCAGTTCAAGTGTTCATGAATATGGTTAAAACCAACGAAAGTCATAAGAAGGTATTTACAACTGATCTTCAGTTCTTATTTCAAAATCCTGGAGCAGAAAGTGAAATGGAAACCGCCTATAGTTGATCTCAGTGATTCTAATAAAAAGCTTGCTTGGTTTTAGTTTTGAAACTCTAAGTTATTGTTGAAATGAGAAATCATTTTCAGTTTAGATCACAGAAGATGTTGGCTTAGTTTAAACCTTGCGGGCCCTGTATCCCTGCATAGAGTGTTTGTGTTGAGATGAACAGACTCTCACAGCCTGGGTTTTTCTTACTGGACTATAGTGTGTCAGTGCCCAGAGAGCCATCGGAGACATCCTGCATTCTTTACTTCAATTAGTTAGGCCTATATCTATATCCAGGTCCAAGTTTCCATTTGAGATTAATTTTTCCATCGAGTTCTGTTCCTGTGACATTTCTGCCTGTTTTGCTTGTCCTATTTGGCTGCTGTACTGTTTATATTCAATGTTTCTAGACAAGAAAAGGACCTCCTGTCCCACCTCTGCCTAAAGTCACCCCAACAAAGGATCTGCAGCAGGAGAATATCATCAACTTCTTTGAGGACAACTTTGTTCCCGAAATCAGTGTGACAACACCTTCCCAGGTGAGTGCCTGTACAGAGCTGGCATGCCGATGAAAGTATCATGGTGGAGGGACTCTCAGAGGTCAGCTGTAGAACAAGTGGCAGACAATATAATCAGCAATATGAATTTACTTGTCATGTTGGTTTGTTTTAATTACTTTGTATGCCTAAAGCTTTCTTATAAGGGAAATGTACACTATATGAATGTTCTCATTTTTTATACTAAGAACATTGTACTTATTATAGAAAATTAGAAAAATATTGAAAAAACAGGAAGAATTTTCATAATCACTAAAATCATGTCACTGTGATATACCCACTAATGTACTTTGGACCATTTTAGTCTTTCCTCCACCCTGAGTATTGTATTGTTATATAATCTTGATTGCTACTTATATATATTGAGCATGTTTTTATGTCACAGTAATGTCTTTGCAGAAATTTATTTAAGCCTACTATTCTATCATTGGATATACCAACCCCTAATTGTTGGCCACAGGTGGCTTCCAATTTTTCTATTACTTCCCCAGCATTTCAGTGAATATCTGTATATAAACTAATTTATATTTGTGTCTTCTATTATTTCTTTTATAATGACTCCTAGTAGAGAATAGGAAAATAAAATTAGAAGACTGAATAATTTTAAGTCTTCTGCCATTCAGCTTCTATCATCTCTATGACTCAGCAAATGGGAATATTAGGGTTCACACTGTTTGGAAAGATGCCTGGGTATACATGTCCCAAGTATAGCTATCTGAAGACCTGTCCCTACTATATTTACATTTTGTTAGAGGTGCTAACAATAATACTATAATTACCAAGTACATCAATAATAATGCTATGTTTAATATCCCAGTTTTAGTCACCTCTCAGGTATAGTAGCAATAACAGGAAGGTCAGAAAGTTGAACTCAGGAGTGATGCAGTAGAAAAATCATTATTTATTATCCCTTTTAAGGCATTTGTCAATGGGTGCATTGGTTTCTGAGATGTGGTTTCCTTCTTAGGTTGTTTGTACAGGATGCTGAATTTGATGAGCTAACTAGAGTTTGCAGTGTGGTTTAGCAGCTCCTTTGAGAGGGGGAATTGTATGTTGACTGATGCATGGGCAAATTCTATCTGTAGACATACAGATGCCTCCAGGGATGGCTATGCTAGGGCACATGATCTTACCCAGCTCTTGCCATTTGCTCTGACACCAAGCTTTAGCAGATTTGATTTCTAAGTTGTACTGTCCCCTTTTCTTTGCTACTCTTCTCTTTTGCTACATGATTTTCACATTGAGAATGCTTTAGGGGAATTATGCTCTTACGCAGGTACTTTTACTTGGACCCTCCAGGAGCATCCTCTCAATTCCATCACTAGTAGAGATGGTGGTCCTCTTGAAGCCTGTGCACTCAGTAATGACATCTGCATTTAGGAGATGAGGCAACTGAAGTGGCAAGAACATGACACACAGACTAGTTCTGAAGTGATGATGAGGTTCAGAGTGTTCTTTCTTTTTAAATGTTTTTTTTTTTTTTATTTGAGGTTTACAGGCACCTAGATAAGGACCCTTGATGGGTAGGAGAAAAAAAACAACTCAAAGCACTTTTGAAAATTACAAATGCCTAGAGAGGTTCCTAAGTACTTCTGGGAACATTAACTTTTGCTTTTATTGCTGCATGACAGTGACAAAAAAAGTTAAAGAGTTGGGGAAGGGAGAGGAAGTATCTTTCCAAATGGAAACATCCATTCTCCAGCTACTGCTCCTATCAGGACACAAATCACTGGTGAAACCGCCCCCTCTGAGCTTTGCTAGCACTTTGTGACAGACCCTGGGACACCTCTCTACCAGCACTGGTTGCTGGTTGCTGACCAAATTTGAAAAAAAAAAAAAAAAAAAACCTTCCAGAGACATTGTTATGGGGTTGCATTTGAGGATTCTACATTTGAGTGTTGAAACATTTTCTTTAAATATGGGAAGGAGATATAAGGAGACAGAAAGGGTTTTCTGTCATTTTTTCTGAATCTGCAAAGGAACTCAGCTCCAGCAGTTGGACCCCGGGCTACAATGTGAAGTGTTTCCATTGACTAAATGACACTCATCTCATGTCAAGATGTAAAGAGAGGAAGCAAAGCAGGATTTGCATTTCAGTCTCCTTTCTGGCTTATTTAGTGAGATAATCTAGCTTTATTTAAGAATATGCCAACCCTGTCTTTTCCTGAAGTGTTTTAACAATCTCCTTAGTGGCTTGTTCATAACTTAGTGGCTTGTTTATAACTATAAATAGCCATTTTATGTTGTTTAAGCCAATCCAGCAGACTTCCTGATTCATCAGGTCTGGAGTGGGGTCAGGAGCTTACATTTTTAACAAGCTTTCTATTGGTGTTGATGCCGCTGGTCTTGGGACCCCACTGTGGGAACCACAGTGGTTTTAGGTAATCAGGATTTCTCATGGTACAAATCTGTGGTAGAATTTCCTCATTCACAAACTATCACAGTGAATTAACAGATTTCTTCCAACTAATCCAAGTGTACATTTGATTGTCCATTTATATCTATAATATTAAAACATAGTATGACTAAAAATGTTACTTATTTAGGACGGTTGGATACATCTATGTGCTTAAACTATTAGATGTGTTGTTCACACTAAATGCCAAGCTACATGTTATAAGTGAATGGATTGCATTATCTTGATATAATGTGTCTGGCAGTATACTGATGAATGGGTAAAAGGGAATAAATAGCAATCAATGTGTGGAGAAAATGAGTTGCTAACCACAAAGAAGTACCAAGAACTAGAAAGCTGAGAGGTATCTGAAAAGGGTTTACCCAGATAACATTCATATTCAATGATCCCTTTAAGTTTTATTTTAATTTTAATTTTTTCTAATTGAATTGCCCTACATTTAGAAGATGAGTTTATATCTCCAGTTTGCTATTTTTATCAAGAACTTAATGGAGAAAAAAAAGTATTTGTGTTAATCCTGCTGTTTGCTCCAAATGTAATGGTTGAAGTGCACCCAGTCTGGGGATAGCTCACTCTAAGTGTCAGCGTGTCATCTTCACACCACCCAGTGTCATCACACAGTGATTCTCTCAGTGTGTCCTGGTATTGAAAATAGAGATCTATCAGGCCTACAGAGCCCTCTAATGGCCCACACCTTAACTATATCATGGGATTTTTCTCTAGGAAAAGTCTTTACTGAATCATAAGGAGATGCCCAGTTGTCAGACCAAAAAGCTTATCTTGCATTTATGGTTCATTGTTTACAAAAATAGACCTTTCAGAGAACCAACGTATCCTGTCCTCTTCTGCCCTCCAAGGAACAAAAATAGAAAAAGTCTTCTATATGTGGTCCCAGCATTATTCTTCTAAAATAGCACTTTTAAAAAATGTGTTCTTGAGGAATATTGATCTCATTGGATGCTGTGAAAAAGCGGGTGCTGGGGGGGGGGGCTGCATCCACATTTGCTTTTTCATAATGCATGTCAGCATGTTCAAGACTCTGGGAAGTTCTGCAACAAAAGAAGCTCCATTTAACTTCATTTAAGCCAGAGTTTCTCAAACAATCTCCCTACCCCCCATCCAAAATACCTTGCTCCTGAGAAATAAATGTTTGGTGAAATATTTTAGGAAATGAAAATTTAAAAGATCTTATATATCTGGAAACCAAATCTATGGATATAAACAAGATTTTTTAACAAGAGATCCATAAAAAATAAAGCAATCATGTACACACAAATGCAAGATTTTCTGTTTTTTCTTTAAAAAATGTTTGAACTACATTTTATCCCAGATTGATGACTTGACTTTCAATCGAAATGTGTTCTCCCCTCTCTCCAAGGTCTTTCTAAAGGATTGTGGTCCTGAGCAAGTATTTTTTCCATATTAATAATTTGAGTCACTTGAAATGAGCATATCATCAACATTCTGGTACCCAGTCTTATGGGATTCTATAAGTGAAATGCCATCCAGCCTGGGGGAGCAGTCTACTCACCAATCATCCTCCTGAAAACAGACCTGGCCCCCATACTCTGGGACAAGTTCAAAAATATGAGCCCCAGAATTCCTGGGGCTTATGATCAAATCTATATATAGAATAGGTTTGGACAGTACCCCAAGAGGAGATATGTAGATCCTGTCCAATGCATGTCTTAATGCAAACTTGTGTGGTCCTGACCAGACAGGATTGACAGCCACAACTGGTCTCAACTACCAGAGAAGGACTTAGAAAATTTTAAGAAATGTGCTTAAAAGCATGGGTCCTCTCAGATGCAGGGTCAGAGGTGGGTCTCTCCAAGTCTAGGAGTACCTTTTTCTGTACAGTGGCAGAGAGGAAGAAGAAATGTCTGTTTTAGAATATTTTTTTCCATAGCAGAAAATCCCAGAAATTTTTCCTAATTTTTTTTCCCAGTAATAATGTTGCATATCTTCTCTCTTTGATATGGTTTTCCCTTTTACAAATCCAGAGGGATTTATCCTTTGAGCATTCAAGCTTATTCTTCCAAGCCTACTCATGGCTCCTGTGGAGATGTCTGTTATCCTGTCAGACAAGACATGAGCATAGTCTTTCAGCCCTCTGAGTGTTGAGACCAATTTAATACCATTCATTTTCCACACGTATCTCTGTTTTGCAGCCCAGTACTGCATCTTTCCTTTTAAGTTTATAAAATCATCCAATTTTTCCTAGCCAATTAAATTGAAATAGGTTTTCAACTGGCAAAATCAGTGCATGAAATGGCCTCCTTTTTCTCTGCAATCCTGATGAAACCTGCTTGTAATTATGGACATACACATCACTCACTTGCTGGGTGTTTGCAACCTTGTTTTAAGTAGTACATTGGCTCTCTTTTCAATGTAGGATACTTTTGGACCAGTTGCTTCTTCTTTTACTTGCTGTTTTTCAAAATAAACATGTTAACATTATTTTAAGAGAGAAAGAATTATTAAGATGGAATTTGTAAGGGAGAAAAATTGCAGTGTGTTTCAAGCCCAAATTTAGTCAGTTTATCACCCTGGTGGATCATCAATG